GCCTTGGGTGCTTCGTCCCTTCTATGTCCGGTTTGGCCAACACCAATGTAGGGAAGGTTGATTGGCAGAAGTAGGTGAGCCCTAGTATTCATCTACTATCACTCGATCTGCTGGGTTCCGGGTTGTTGAAAATGGAGGTGACCGAATCGGACCTGCGGTCACCTGCCCTTTCATCGTGTGCCCAAGCCGTCTTCGGGTTGGAGTTGCGTTTTCCATAGAGCATTACAAAAAAACGATAATCCGAAACGGAACCCCAACCCGGAGATGTGTCATTTCTCTTGTTTAATGTCTTTAGCCGGATGGGTTCCACGGTCTTTTTCGTTGCGGATATCGGTGGCAATGGAATTTTTTTCTTGGATGGGGGGAGGGTTCACCTATGGGTTTATGGAAGTGCATCAAATCTCCCTGGTATTGAATGCATGTTCTGCTAGAGAAGCGCCTGGGCCCGGGTATTTTGCTCAATGATGGACCCGCGCTTGTATGATTCGTAAGAGTTACTCGTGATTTCCAAAATATACCGTCTTGTCCAGTGAGGCTACTATAATAACCTGTGTGAGAGAGCCCATAGCATCTAGGTGTCCAACCATTGGCCGAACTAGTTGTTTTTACAGTTTAGCTATGCATCACATCACAACTTGCTATCCTATGGCTAGGAAGCACGTATTTGGTTCCGGGAGGGAGTTGCATGTGAGCATAGCGCTCACCTTTTGGAAAGCTCGTTGGTACCATAGGTCTACAACAGCATTAGTCTGAGAGTAGATCTGCTCCTCAAAATTCAATACATGGACCAGTCAGGCTGTTTGTCCGTGTAACGAGATCTAAGATAGCTCGAGATTAATCGAACCAATGCCACCTACCTATCTGCAGCTAGGTACTACCCAGGGGTTCACTTTAACCACTTTTAACTCTATTGAGAGTCCCATAGAGTCTGATCCCAACTTAAGAGGTTACAAGCAATGACATTCGCTTTATCTTAGCGATGGAGAGAGTGACTATTTTGGGGGGGTGTAAGATGGGGAGGGGAACGTTAATTGGTCTAATTTCTTATTAACTGAAAAAGAATGTTAGCCAAACCCGTCTCCCAGAATTTCTATTTCTCATGACAGCAAACTTCTAACCAGGTGACAAGTATCTCATGTTCCAGCACTGGGCAGATAACATTAGAGGATCGATAATATATGCATATATTGATGTATTAACTACTACATCTCTACCCGGCCCCTCTGGCCAGTTTTGTGATTTTCCAGAAAGATAACGGTCTTCCATGTAGGATACCGGTGGTTCCCGATACCCATAGCCCGGTTCCGGGGAATGTGTAAACCAAACAACAAGAGAAGACAAATAAGAAGCATCGACCACACAATTCTCAGACAGGAGACAAGGTGCTGATTAATAATTAATTTGAAAAATTTGCCCATATCATATGGAAAAGCAGTTTTGGAGTTGAAGGACTTGACACATATTTCAGATTACAGTCTGCGCTGAATATCATAATAATGGTTTGTGGGTGAGTTTACTCTTAGACCGTAGCAATGACCCAATGCGTCTGAGATTGTAGACTTGCCATCAAATCTCCAACTAGCAGGTAGCTTTAATATTGACCAACTCAGGCGCTTATGCATTGATCATTCCTGTCCTCAGACCCCATTACTGCCCATTCATGTTATATCACGGCGTGATACTTTACCTGCTACGGAGTATGAAGTTCAAAGCATAACCAACCGGACTAACGGGTTTAACACTAGGACATTCCACTGACACGGATTTATGTGTCTTGATGCGGATATTTCCAATATAGGCTGGTCTCTATTAGTCCAAATGCGCAAGCAAACTATCAAGTCCAACTTAAAAGGCAAGGGAAACACCCCAGCGAAATATTCATGTAAGATCAGATCAGGAATCCGGGTGACGGAGTGACCCCAGGCAATCTCCCGTTCAATGTCCTCTTCAGAATACAGGCCATTGCAGAAATGAACCATGATGGAATCGAGAAAGTTCCCAGCTTTGGGGGCCCCCTTTTTCCGCTTCGAATATAGTCTTAAAGTAATACAGAAATGGCTTTTCTCTGCTAAGCTATCTCCGGGCGCGCTGTTCCTGATTTTTATTTCTTGGGTAACTTACTGCTTTTACCATTCGTAGGCGGAGTCGACCTGCTAGTAGAATCATTTTATCCCCCAGGGACTCGACCAGTGGCTATCGCAGGTGCACAAATTGTAACACACTACCGGCAGTGTCACCCCGTTCATCCGAGACACCGTGCCCTTCTATCCTCACGTCGGGAATATATTGGAGAAAGTTGAACACAATGGAAGGCGGGGAAGCACAGAATTCCGCCTGCAATTGGCTAACACCTGTCATAGTATCAGCCGACAAGTGTCCAGAGAAGTTTCGCTCATGATACAGCAGCATAGCTACACCAAACACCATCGCTCTAGATATAGACTGCGCTAATCGATGCGTAATTGGGTTCAAAAAATCGTAATTTATCAGATCCAAAATCGCGAAAACCCAGCTATGTATCACCAACCAGTGGAATCTCCAGGTTAGAAAATTTATGCACAGGGGAACTCCGACACCTATGCATCCCCTGGCATTCATTGCTCAAGATTGCACTTTTACTAGTTTGAGCACCCCGCTTCGATACCCTCCTTGCAAGTTCTTTCCGTCTCTGTTTTTGCATCGAAGCACTTCCCAGGCCGCGAGAATTACGGCCGAGGGAATTGATCAGGGGTTTTTTGCTAGACTGTAATTATTCTTCCCTAGGGTCGGGGATAGAGTTCACTGTTACTTCTCCCTCTCACCGGTTTCCCTCTCCGCATCAGTATCTAGCATTCGTTTATTTTTGTTCACCCAGTTTCCACTAAATCTAAGTCTGAAAGAGTTTCTTCTTTCGCTTGCTACGGTTATCCACCTAAAACCAATGAGAGATCACAGCCCTGTGGCGAGTGGATACACTTCTCTTTTAAAAATCTTCTAGTGAGAGTGCGTATCCACTAGAGCCCGTTTAAGAACTTATTTAGACGAAAGGAAGGTGGTCAGACCTCCATTTCACTACAACGTTTTCAAATCCACCATGTGGCTCCTAAATATATCCATCATACAAAAAGTACATTCTCAATATCCCGCCACACCAGAGGATCGTTTCTCGCGTTGATACCCCACATCACCACAGCACTACAAGTACCGCACCATAACGGCCCCCCCTCCCCTCCTGTCATTGTATGATTGACTCTCCCTCCTTTCTCTTGCGAGACCCCACTTTCGTCATCCGAGCCCTACTCGTCCCCCCTCACTTCACTCGCTCACCGTACAGCCTCCTACTCTCACACAATCTGCCGTACGGAGAGCGCACGACATCCGAGGCTCGATTTGTGGCACAATATCAAGCATAGCTAATTTTACACCTCCACAAAAAGAAATTCCGGGCAGGCCGCCCATCGGTGTCCACCATATATATCCGTGCCTCCCAGCCATCGGCACCCGTTTGCCCGTTCTATGAGCCCGTATATAAATTTAGCAGCTATTATATCACAAAAAGGGTGCCAATTCTTGGTGCGGAGACACAAGCACGGTACTTGTACTGTACTAGTACTCACACAGTGCCATTCCAAGGAGGGAAGCGCGAGGCCTCTAGTCGAACCCCCGATTCTTTGCTCGACGGCCCCCAGAGCCGAGCGGCTGCGGATTTAATAATCAGCGGCATGTTATACTAGAGCTTTGGATTCCAAGACATTGCCTTTCCTCGGCGAAAACACGAGCTCTTCAGAATACGATACCTTAGGCGTAGTGGCGCTGTGTCACCTTACTTTATGGCCTTATTGAGGTGTAAAAATAATGCCCTGCGCACTTCTCCGATAATTGCCCTCTGGATGGTGGCCGACCGGGTGTGGGAGATTAAGGTTTTGCACCCAGCTGTCGATCACGGGGTGTAACTTAACTTGATGGTCTCTCAATACGAGATGATGCAAATTGAGGTGGGCGGGTTAGGATCGTTACTGTAGGCTAAGTCTATTGGCTTACACGAGGTACGGTGTGGTGTTGTGTTCCCTGGAGGGTATCTGGTAAGGAAGATCGGTGGAGCTCCCGCTGTAGCCAATAGTCTGAGGTGTTATTCAATACTGGGGACAGATATATAACTATTGCAGAGAACAGAAAAATTCCTCCCCGGTATCGCAATTGCCATCTACATACCTTTCCCCAAACCGCCAGAACCATGAACCTCCAACGCCCCCACTACCTCTTCTCCCTCCTGCTCCTCCTCATTCTACATACAGCGTCCACCACCGCGCGCTGCACAATTAACTACAATACCTCCTTCTCCTTAACAACCGACAGGTCCCTCAACCCGGACCTAAACAACCTTCACCCCTACCTCTCCAACTCCCAGCTAACCATCTCTCCGCCTGACCGCCCATTCCCAGTAAGCGTGATCCCCTTCTTCCGTGGCGGCAGCATCTACCGCTACGCCGACGGCGGCGCGCCCGAGGACCTGGAGCAAGGCTATCTAGAGAAGAATCCCGGCGGCCCAGACACCGGGTACGTCTTCAAGTTCAGCAGCAGAGTTCCCACGGGAGCCATCACCGGCAGGTTCGAGATCGGGTGCTCTGAGCAGGGGAGACACATATTGAGCCTAAACGGAGACTTGAGGTGGCAGGCTTGTCGGGGCGGGTATAGGAGGGAATGGAGAGTGAGTCCTAACTATCCCTTCCGCGCTTCCTTTATTCCCCGAAGCTAGAGGGAAACTTGGCTAACGCTATATGGTAGATTAGTAGGGGGGTTAGTGATAGGGATTGCCCGGCGGCGGATTTGTGGTTTTGGATCGATTATGTTCGGCCGTTGTAAGGGCGGTGGGGGGTGGAAATTTGAGGACCAATTTAGCTCTCGGTCGATTTGTTAGGGGGGTTATCATAGGACCTGTATCAATTGGTGCGCGGAATTACTCTTTAGGAGGCAGCATGATCTGTTATCAGTACTATCATTCACGCAAGCTGCAATAGTTACCATTGTGCCAAAGTCCGCCTCTAAAACCCCCTCCCCAGCCATTTAATCCCAAACATATATAGTTCACTGAAATCCGATTTTTGTCCCACATTTTACACTCAAAATGAAGTTTTCGTAAAAGAAGCCATTCAACTACAACTATCCTCCTCCCAGTGGGCGTCAATACCCGAGAAAAATAGATGCAGTTTCGGAGCCCGCGTGAGGCCTTTAAAAACCGACCATCCTCGAAACAACTACCCTCTTACCTGCACGGTACAGTACATCAACTGCCAGGCAAATTACTATGCTCAGACCAAATCTCCAACCTCTTCTACTAGTGTATAAGGTGATTCCATACCTGGTGATTCCCAGAGCCCAAGCCATCATTGGCGTGAGTAGTAGTAAAACATTGACCTCATGACTGTCGGTTACCTGAATACATAATCTTTGGGTGTTAACATAGTGAGCTCGAATTTCCCACGTTTCCCCATCCTTGCTCTTCCTTTTTATACTACTCGTTGTGGTTTTACTGTGTTATGACAGGGTATGCAATGGATCCCCAACGGTGAAACCAGGCGAGGTCTGGGTGAGGCGCGGCAAAGCTTGGTTGAATAGGGAGGTTTTGTTACTTTTTTTTTTTTTTTTATATATCAAGTTTTATTTGTGTTCTACGGAGGTACAGCGCCTAAGTGTTGTATATTTCACTTGTAGGGGGGCAATCGGCTAGCAGGGGAGGAGGAGTAAATGGGTATAGTGGCATATGCCAGTGTGGCTAGGAAGTCAGAATGGTAGTTAGAGGGAAAACAACATGAATATGTATTTTGGAGCAACAGGCATGTATTTGATATTTTGTAAAAAGCCCATTGGCGTCAATAACTGCTTGACATCGGGCTAGCATACTATCTACCAGCTCTCTAAACTCATATGGACCAACATTTGCCCAAGCTTCCTTTACTGCCTCCCTTAATCTATCATAGGTCATATTTTCGGGAAAATTATCTTCTAGATAATTTTTCAGAATATGCCATACATGCTCAATTGAATTCAAGTCGGGGGAGAAAGCAGGCCAGTGAATAACTTCAATGCCTCTTTCCCTCAGGTCAGTCCTTGTATCCCCTGCTGCATATCTAGGTGTATCATCATGTATCAGCTTCAAAAAATCTCCATTTCTGTGATACAATTCCAGATACCCATGAATAATAGGTACTGTATGTGTACAATAGCTCTCTGAATTTATTAAGCCCTAATCCTTCTCCTAAAAAATCCCAGGACCTTGAAAATCCCCTTTAAAACACACCCAAAACATCTATCCATTTTTCCTTTAGTGCCTTTCCACAATGCAGGTTGAATTCCACTCCTCTCCAGCCCTCCTAGTAAACCAGGTCCAGATATACCTTCCCCCAGTAATCCATGTTTCATCTGTGCACAAGATAGAGTTCCACTGCTCCTGTGTCCAATTGACATGTTGTTGAGCCAACTCAAGTCTTATTACTCAATTGCATTCAGTGATTGGGGGTTTTCTCATTGCAAGTCACTAGTAGAAGTCTTCCTTTATTAAGGCTGCTCAATCCACTTTTTTTCCAACTTCTAGATTCAACTCTATCGGGCTTTAATTAGTTTTTAATTATTTTCTCAACTCAGAAGATTTTTTACCTTCAGCTAACTGCTAAAAAGAAAGTCTCCTATTACGTGATGATATGTACACATACTTAATAAGATTCTTGATTTTTGTGTAGGTCAGAACCAGAGAATGACCTGGCCACTTCATTGGAGTTGCCAGTAAGGTACACACATACAGGGCATGGTGCCACAAAAAATCTGTTTGCTCTTAAATCTGTAATCAATTGACTAGAGCAGCTGACAATCTCGGCTTACTTAAAAACTTCCACGCTACTATATCCAATTCATTTCTCATACCTACTAGCTCAATACTCTCTTGCTAGCAGAATACACAACACTTAGGTGCTGTACCTCTGTAAGATAAGCTAAGGTACATGTGTCACATCACCTATTGGTATGTAGACCTACACCTCCACCCCTGTCCAGGTCCCCACAACAAGAAGAAAAACCCACCTACCAAAGTAAGTAGGTAGAAAAAACTCCCCTAAGCAGCAACCCATAGTGCACACTACCAGAAAACCACATGCAAGTAACCAAAACCAAGGAAATCCCCCATCCCAATAGATAATACTCTTCAATATACATGAAAGAAAAACCTGCCGATAAAGGAAACCCCATAACCTAAGAACCTAAGTTTTAAACTATATGGCTTAGCTAACTGAATATACATAGCCCCAGAAAACCATCAATAGCTGATTGTTAGGAGGACTGGGATCCGATACCTATCAACTATCCTAAGTAGAGTAATTCCACTCAGAATTGGAGTCTCTAGTTTTCAACACCCCAGGCTGGCCCCCTTATGGGGCCCACATGTCATTATACATATCTATCTTAGTTGTATCTTACTTGCATCCTGCCACTATGATATCACAGAATTGAAGATTTCAGAATAACACAATATACATTGCTACTATCTGTCCAACCATATCTTGCTTGCAGGATATATGAGAGGGAACCTTGAGCTAGGTCTGGGAAGTAGAACAAAGTAAATCTGTCAACTACTCTGAGAGTTACTAGGCTTCAAAGATGAGATATCTTTGGTATAGGCCTTAAGTAACAGGATGTTTTTGTACAAAGATTTGATATTGAATATTAGAGAATCACTACAAAGTGCCAACACATTCTCATCAACCCTATAATAATTAGAAGAGTTTACAACACCTAGGAAGTACTAGCCAAGAAGCCAATAGACTTTTTAGAGTGTTACAACTAGGTCAAGGATGGCATCATAGTTGGAGTAATTATCACCAATACCAAACAACAACCAAAGTCCTGTTACCTAGAATACCTAAGAGTTGCTGACCAATGGATTATGTTAGGCGGAGACAACTTAATAGACTTCAAGGTTGTCTAGGCCAATCGAGATTCGTTTCTGTAGATGGAGATTGTCTAGGAAGGCTCAGACTTTACTCGTTTCGTTTATGACTACTAGGAGCGAAGTAAAATAGGTAAAGTAGGGTAGAATCGTAAAAACAATATTATATTATTAAGGTCACTTCTCCGTTGCTTGATCATGTCTAAAGCTTGGGAGGCACTTCAATATTTATATTCCGCGTCTGAGTATTTGCGGACTACATCTATTTATCATACAACTATGTACTTCTTCAATTGTAATTCACAACGTCGAGTTTTCTTCCAAGGTGCAAACACCTGTGGACCCTGTAAACCATCATACTCTCTTCAGTAATTACGATATTTCTTCTTAGGAAATGTGCTGCCCCCGATAGTAATATCCCAATTAGCAAAGTCTTTAGACTTATGACCTAGTTCTTAAGTCGAACTGAGTTGGCCCTAATTGTCTTCGCCATTGATAAAATGATCAGTTTTATCCATGGCTATATCTGCAAAGGTGGTCGTCATTACAACCATCATAGGTCGTCTGACTCCGATCCTTTGTAACTCCATACCCAACCAATAGATTTTCTCTGGATGACTTCCTATTAACTCGCAGGAAGCTATTCCACCAGATTGGTAATTAATCCCTCGGTCGGCAACCCTTGGTTGCTCTCTGAGTAGTAGGTTTCAGTAATCATTGTAGTATTGAGAATCACCCCATGGTTACGACATGTTCCGAAACCCAGTTGCAATACTCCGTGAAGTTTGTTGGCTTCTTTGGTAGTGTCTCTTGGAGTTCTAGACTCTTCTGATGAATGTAAATGTATTGGTCTCTAGTAGAGATCCTTTACCATTTGATACCATCTCTTGGTGCGAAATCGTCCCGTTACTTACAGCCCATGCCACAGGTATCATGTCTTTGAAGCCAAGTAACTCTCTGAGTAGTTGATGGAATCACTCCCTTCTAATTTCTCGGACCTAGCCGAAGGTTCCCTCTCATATATCCTGCGAACAGTATCCAGTCGGATGGACAGCGACGACGTATATGGTGTTATTCTACCACCTTCAATTCTGTGGTAATATAGTCACAGGACACAACTGAGATTAATATATATAATGACGCATGGGCCCGTAAGGGAGCCGGAGGAGGGTGTTGGAGACCAGAGATTCCGATTCCAAGTGGGGTTACCCTACTTAGGGTGGTTCCTAGGTATCGAGTTCTGGTATTCCTAACAGAATATCTGCCAATCCAGTAGAATAGCTTCCTGAAAATCAGTAGGAAGTTATTCGGAAGATATCTGTTAGTTGGATCAGGAGTGATGAAGATTTAAAGTCAGTGACCTAGGAAGGATACATATGTAACAACTCGTGCAGACAAGGCCCTTAGATGAAACTAATCATTTCATCAATAAGAGGAACAATTGGGGCTAATACAGTTTGACTGGAGAACTAGGCCATAAGTTTAAAAACTTCAGAGATTGAATAATTATTATTGTTAACAATACAGTTCTCTAATTACCAAAATAGTAATTACAGAAGAAGGTGTGATAGTTTTCAGAGTCTACTAGTATTCACACTTCAGGAGAATACCCGACATTGCGAGTTATAGTTAGAGAGGCGTATAATTTGTATGAGAGATAGATGTAGTCCGCGAATATCCAGATACTGAATATAAATATCAAAGTGCCTCCTAACCTTTTAGACATCATCAGGCAATAGAGAAGAGAAGACCTTAACTGTAACTTGTTCGCTAGGTACTAATCATATTTTGGGAGAGGGTACAATAGTTAACAGTTAGCCTACTCTTCCAGAGAGAAGGCAAGACCTAGAAACTAATAGAGGTTCCAAAGGTGTACTGGGAAAACTTAAAGAAGTAACTATTCAATCAAGTATATTGAAATACTATCTGTCAAAGTCTGCCTTTTCCATCATGGACTCTGGTGGTCTTTAAATACACAAATCTGTTCATGTCTAGTATGAACGAAACTAATCAATAGTATCAATACTTTTTGGTAAAAAAACTTAACTATCAAAATGATACTTAAAACAAATCATAAAACAAAACTAAGTATCAAACG